ACAGAGGGGGAAGGGGAGAACACCCAGCTCCCAGGGCCAGAGGGGGGCCAGCCAGAGCCGGAGGATGTGGCTCTCTGTTCTCTGGAACACCTGCCTCCAAGGACAAGAAATTCTGGGATCTGGGAGCCTCCTGAGCTAGACAGGAGTCCAGGGGAAGACGCTTCAAGCACAGAGGCAGCAGGAAGTTACAAAGTTGTGAGAAAAGGTAAGATAAATTGGGGCCCACTGGGGAGACAAACGCCTGATTTTGCTAGGGTAGAGGCGAGTCTTCCAAAGGCTGCTTGCTTCCCCACCTTATTCTGGAAGCCACACGTGTGCAGGGCTCACCCTGGGTCCTAGGGGAAGGAGACATGCTGATAGCATGCAGAGGGCAGAGGCTTTGCGATCAGACAGCCAAGAGCCAAAGCCCCAGCCCCATCACTTCATGTGTGTGTGACGTTAGAGCACACTCAGAACCAGCCCTGAACTTCCTTCTGTAACATGAGGACAGTGCCTCGTACCTGGCACTGATCAGCCATCAGTAAGAGTCTCTGCTCGTGTCCCACTCGTCTGCCAGGCCTAAGGAAAAGGTGGGGCTCTTCTCAGAGCCTCGGGCTGCAGAGAAAAGGACTCCTGCTTGCAGCCAGTCCCTTCAGGTGGCGGAGATGAAGGCACTGGCATTGTGGGGGTGGAGAAGCGCTGAACTAGAGGTTGAGCTGAGAGAGGGGCCTTCGGACAAGTCGGGGAAGATGCTCGGAGAGTAAGGGGTGTGGGGAGTGAAGGAGGTGGCAGGGAGGGCACCCAGCTGTGGATATGGTGGACGCTTTAAGACCAGCAAAGCTGAGCCTGCCAGGATGGTGCTCAGGACGGGTTTGGCCAGAGCAGTGAGCCCTGGCCGGGGAGGGGTCAGCGGGAGAGGGAGGCCTGGTGGAGGAGCGCAGCAGGCAGGGCGCCCCTGAGGAGTGGGATGGGATTCCCGTCAGTGCCAGTTCCCGATCTTCCCCTCGCGCTCAGCTCTGCCTCCCTTTCCAGGAGCATTTATTACTCATCTGCTCATGGTCTGCCCTCTCTCCTGGGTTTCTGGGAACTGACCTTCCTTCTCTCTCCTTTGGTGAATTGGTGGGAAAGTTCTCTGCAGCTCCCTGGGGGAGAGTCACGTGTGAGCTTGTGTTCACTGTGTTCTTCCCTTTTTCTTTCCCTCCACCCCCACTTCTTCCTCCTCCTCTCCTTCCCTTCCCTTCTGGTTTCTGCTGTCCCTGGTGGTGGTGGTGGCGGTGGCGGTGCAGCTGCGGTGGCAGGCAGTAAGGCTGTCCCTGCTCTACCAGAGGGTGGCCAGTCAGAGGCTGAGCCACCTGAAGTTGAAGGCGGAGCAAAGGCTACGGGTAATGAACCCCTCCTGGGAGCCAGAGACGGCCACGCTGAGTGTGGGGCCCAGAGGGCAGAGCCGGGCCCTGGGCCACAGACCGGCACAGGCCTTGTGCCACCCCCTTGTCAAGAGCTGCCCAGGTGTCTTGCAGAGCAGGAGGGTGAGCCGCTGTGCTGTCACGCGGGTGGGAAGCCTGGCCCAGTGCCCAGTGTCCTTACCCGAGAGCCTGACGGTGAGCCACTTCTTGCCCACACCAGCCACTACTCCAGTGTCACGGAGGACATTGGCTTACATGCCCTCCACGCCACAGTTCCTTGGCGTCCACCTATGCCTACTGCCCGGACAGGGACCCTCTGCGTCCTTTCTCCCGCTGCCTGACCCCCAATGATGAGTGGAGGTATCTCCAGGATTGTAAAGTAAATGGCCGATGGGCAGGGTCAAGGAGGCTACTGCCCATGGCTTTTCACAAGTTCCTAAACCAGCCACCACCTCCTTACCCTTCCTTCTAGGAATGGGAGCCCTTCCCCATTTCCCAAATGAAACACAACCCTGCCACTTCTGCCTTAACTGTCACACTGAGTGTCTCCCCGGGGATGGGACACGCTAAGAATGGCCATCCAGAAGGCTCTGTGGAGGAGCAGCGCTCCAGGCGCGCAGTAGGCAGCAGGAGGCGGAGTGCTCTGAGCTCATCAGAGGACCGGCTCCTTGGCCCAGTCAGGCAGCACGGCAAGCGCCAAGGGCGAGAAGGTGGCTTCCACTTGCTCTGCACTTGCCTCCTAATCTCTCCCTCTCGCCATGGGGACAGGGAACTGTTTCTATGTCAGCATGCCAGCAGGACCCCCCGACTCCAGCACCGACCTTTCTCAGCCCAACGGCCTCCCTGTCTGGAGGACCGAGCCGCAGCCAAGGGGAGGCAATGGAGAACCGAGGCGCCCCAGCTGCTCGCCTCCCAGCCTGGCCATCAAGGACATGGGCATAATCTTCCAAACCATTGAGCAACTCACCGTCAAGCTCAACAAGCTCAAGGTGAGGGGACTGGAGCTCAGGCCCTCAAGGCAGTAGGAGCAGCCTGTTTTCAGTCGGGGGGGTGGGGGGGGGTAGCTTGGACTGGTGGTGTGTCCATGGGACCCCTAGCTCTTAGCCTGCCCAGGGCTCCCCTCGATGCACCCAGGGACCTTCTGAACCGGACCTTCCGCGCTCTTCCAGGACATGGAGCTGGCCTACAGGGAGCTGCTCAGGTCCCTCGGGGGCGAGTCCTCTGGCGGCACCACGCCTGTGGGCAGTTTCCACACAGAAGCGGCCAAGTGGGCAGATTGCTCCCTGTCCCCTCCAGTGAAGGATCCCCCGCCCTCCGACTCCTGGGACAGCCACGAGCTGGGGCCCTGCCCCGAGGACAGTGAGTGAAGCTGATTTCCTCTTCGTACCAGCCCAGGGGAGGAAGCGTCCACTAGTGAGGACACGCTGCCGTGCAGTGTGAGGCGAAAAGGGGTTCTGGGGGGGTCTCATTGCTCCCTGAGTACAGGTAATCCCCCCGTTCTTATGAGCTTGAGGACTTTCCGGGCAAAACATGAGAGGGGTCATCTCAGAGGCCAGTTCCTCAGTCAGCACTGCATCCTCCACAGGCACCAGAAGCCCCCTGGAAGACAGCGTGGCAGACGCAGCCACACCCCCAGGACTGTAGTTGTGCACACCACCGGTCCTCTGCACCCGACTGCTCGCTCGGGATGACCTAGGGCAGGGCGCAGGGTGGGGATACCCAGCCTCCTCCCATGGTAGATCAAGGCAGTTCAGGAGGCGGATCTCTGGGGCAGACCCGCATGTTGCCTGGAGTCCAGTCTCAGTGTCTTGCTCATCCTCAGCCGAGGATATTTTCCATTGATTTTTTTTTTAAGAGAAAGTGGAAAGGGGGTGGGGGAGAGAGACATCGAGTGGTTGCCTCTCGCTGGCACCCTGACCAGAGGCTGGGGATCAAACCTGCAACCCGGGTGACCAGGACTCCAACACTAACCACTGAGCGACACCGGCCAGGGCCAGTTTCAGGGTCTTTTCCCCTCCCTCAGGCCACCGGTCCTGTGCATGCTGACTGCATCTTTAAGGCCCCCTTGTCCCACATATGCGTGTCCACTGGTGCGCGTGGGTACCTCAGGCATGCAAGGGAATGGGGAAGGCTTCTGTGTAAATGCACTTTCTTCCCCTTCCTTCCCCCCAGGGTCCCAAGGCTCAGGGGGGTGCCTCCACCTCTCCTCTCCATCACTTGGATTCCTATAAATATGTATGTATTGTACGTGCATCTTTGCTGTTGTAAATAACTTGGACCTTTCTGTTCCTGGCGTGCTGGAGGCAGCCACAGAGCCACTGCCAAGGGGAGAGGAGGTGCAACTCCTAGTTCTCGCCCAGCTCCTGGGTCAGGGCCTGAAGGTTGAGCCAGTCCCTTGTGGGCCCACCTAGCGCGGGAGTCCGGTCTCCGCGGCTCAGGGCCAAGCTACACCCTCCCCACTGGACTTCCCGTCTTCAGGGGA